CCCTCAATGGCTGAGGTTTCAGTATCTCCAAGGACAGAGGATCCACCACCCCTCCAGGCAGCCCATTTCACTGCCCTCACAGGGAAAATCTTTTCCTAATTTTCTAATTTCTAAAAATTTCTAATTGGAACCTTCCTTTACACATTTGAGCTCGGCCAGGAGATCCCCACTCAGCTGTGTTGGCCTTCTGCCACATCTGCTCAACTTTCTGCACGTGAAATGAGTGTTCCTGTGCTTGGAAGAGGTTGTGCTCCAACACACAGTGGATCAGCAGGGTGCAGTAGAAGACATTTTCAATTTTAATTTATCTGTGTAGAGATACCTGAATATGGGGGTGAAGGGAAAGTGCTGGTGGAAAAAAAAAGCTGCTGGGCTTTATCAGTAGGAAGCTTGCATTTTACTAGCCTGATTGGTTTTGTGGAAGGTGCCTTTTCTGTTCAGGTTCCCATAAAGACTCTATAGCAACTCTGGCCTGGCTTACTGTTAAAATACCTTTCTTGGGTTTTTTTTAACCTCTTTTCGGGTTACCTCTGTATACAGTTATAAAAAGCAGAGTTTGGGTATGGGGCAATTGAAGACCGAGAGATGGAGACCTACTGTCCTGCTCCCTCTCTTGGCTGACCCAGTACTTCCACAAAAATTTTTTCTTGTTTTTGCCTAGGACAATTTCCTTTGCTGTATTGAATGTGATGCTTTTAGTTGGAAGTCTGCGTCAGCCAGTGAATGGCACAGTTTCACTATAGATAAATGTTGCCAATGTGGGCTTTCACTGCAAGCAAGCTGGTGTTCTTTTTTAAACTTGCAATAGTATGTTCCTGTCAAATGATTTGTTGTGCCAAATTATGAAGGCGAGACGTAGCACAGTCCTGGTCACAATGCGATCTGAAAGGCAACCTAGTAAAGTATGCATTTTGAGGAATCCTTGGAATATTTTCTGTGCTTTTTACCACTTGGAATCCCTCTGCAAAATGTTGTTTTCAGTCTTGAGTGAGAAGGAAGGAAAGGAAATCAGGAGCCCCATCAATGAGAAGAAAGAAAGAAGTCAGAATGACAAAGCAGACAAGGACAGATCCTGGGGGAAGGCAGGTATACTCATTAATTATATTTACATTTCAAAGACGAGTTAACTGCAGTGTTCTCAATCATACCCTACACTTGGGTTCCCTGCCACACACCATGAATAAGAAATGCACTTTGGAGGATAGAGTAAGTGACCCAACAGGCTTCTTCCACTTTTAATTTCATGAGTGATCTTAATTTCAGAGGTCAGTACAACTGCCTATAGTAAGTGATTTTAGGCCAGTAATTACTAATTAAGACAGAAGGCAAGATGCTGGCTAAGGCACTTTCAAACAGATCACAGATAACCTTGCAGGAGCTGATTAACTCAAACAGAACACCTCCTTAGGTGATAGCTACCAAATGATACTTGGAACATTTTTTAAAATTAAAAGGGATGAGGGAGAAGGATTTATGAAACTCTTGTCTGAGTTTTCTCTGGAGAAAGAATTTTGATAATAAGTGGGATTAGCTGTTTGCCAATTAGCAGACAATCAGAAGAAAGACGTTTACCCAGTGGGCAAAAATCTTTTATGATAGACTCACACTCATCAAACCTGTTTACGCCAAAGGAGGATAAACACTGACATGCTCACAGTGTCTTAGCTCTAGTGATGTGAGCTGCAGGGGCTGCAGCTACCGTGCCAACTTCACGTGGGCTGCGTGGGACTCGATGTGACAGTGCTTAGCGTGGCAAGCACTGAACAGAGGACCCCAGGCTGTGCTCGTGGATCCCAGGATGGCTGTGGACGACCCTAAGGGGTCCACAAAAGAAGCTAGGAACAGCAAAACAACTGTCTGTGGAGAAAATTGAGAAATCTCTGACACTGGGGAATTTTTAGGGATCTGCAAATCAGAAACAGTGAGAAGACACTGTCTTTATTAATATTAGTATCTTTAAAGGTGATCATCATTGGCAGATCAGAGATATCAGAGATAGTGTCAGACATTGGAAGCTTTTCTGAAAGTGTCCCTTGGACAGGTGAGGCCTTGAATGACCATACATTCAGAGTGGCAGATGCTGTAAAGAACAGCTGAGCGAAGTTGCTGCTTTTTGTCTTTTTTTATTTCCAGCTTAACAATGAATTTTTCCACATGGTTTCTACAAAATAGGTATATGTAGGCAGCACTGCTTGGCCAAAAGGCAGGGTGAGGGAAGAGTCTGTCTGATTTTGCTTTTGTTCGTGCTCCTCTTTTCCATCCTCAGAACTTAAATGATTCCTACGTACTTCCACAAGCAGAACATGAGCCCTCTAATCCAAACAGTTGCTGAAGGTGTATTTCATTATTTGTTCTCTAATGGGGCCATTGCTTGCCATTAACTCCACAGGCAATATGGAGCACAAAGCTAGATTTACAGATCTGCATTCTAGATGCCTAAAGGAGGCCAGAAAAATTGTATCCTTCCATTCAAAAATCCAGCTCAGAAAAGCAGAGAGCACATAAGGAAAACAAATTAGGATAAAGCACGGCTCAGGAGTGCGGAGCATTTCTCTGCTATATCCCTTGGCACAAGGTAGCGCCTAATGAACTCAGTCCTGGTTTTCCCACTGGCGTCCGGATCAAAACGGGAATTTCAGATAGAGCGAATGGCTTTATAACATTTGTGACATGCATAAATGCGAGGAAGTATGAATACATGATGCTTCCGACCAAATCCATGTTTTTACTTTCTTTCCCTGCATAGTCAGGGCCTCGTCCTGTGGCAGCTTCATTTGCAAGAGGCTGAATTTGCTCTGATCCCAGGAAGCACTCAGTGCCCTCCATGGGCAACCATCATGAGTGGAAGCCATCGTGCCTGGAAGCAGGTCTAACTCATAGTGCTTAGGCAGCACTTCTCTACACAAGAAGTGGGCCTTTGCAGGTTGTTTCATTCTGAACAAGAACATTAACTCCTTTTCAAAGGGAACGATTGCTTTTAGAGCTGCTGACAGTTGTCCAGAGATTAAAATTCCTTCCAGTTAGGCTAGTACTGTCCCTGTGACATGGATCTTGTTTGGGAACACCTGACTTGGAGCAGGCAGACCAGGGGTGTCAGCTTTAGGAGAAATCTAACGGTGACTCATTGCACCCTAGGGAAGAACTGGAGATGATGAGCACCTTTCGTTCAGGGAATGCTGGAGCAGGCTAAACCCTTCCACGAGAACCAGTCAGGTTCAGTGAAAATAGCTGTGTGCATTCCCAGGAAAACTAAACATCAGGTGTGCTTGAGGGTAAGGACTGGCAGCTACGATCAAAGGCATTTTTCTGGTGCGTTGTGTGGGTTAACAGCCTGTTGAACCGTAGGAGCAGACATGATGGAGAGGCTCAGAGCTGCAACGTGCTGCTGCGGCTTAGTGCAACCTGAAGCTGCACTGAAAAATAGGGAGATGCTGTCAAGTCCTTCTGGCAATGGAAAAAAGTGTACAAAACGAAGGGAATGGTGTCGTCAGAGCCGAACGGCAGCAACATTTTGAGACTGAAAATTTTCTTCACTTGCACAACGATACTAACATTTTGGGGAAAAAAAGGAGCACTGCAGAGGCAGCCATTACAGATGGAGGAGACTGATTAGCCCCTCTAGCTTTTCCACCTGAAAATACAAGATGTACTGTGATACCGCTGACGTGAACTCCATGGGAGGAAGTAAAGGAAATGTGATTACAGATATTATATCGAAATTGAATTAAAGCTGCATTAAAAAACTCAGATTACTGCACAGTTCCATGCTACGTTTGAAAACACGATATGCATCTGCTACTGACAGACACGTAAAGAACATGCAGGGGCTTATTTCCCAGAAAACTAGGTTGATCTCTGACTTGCTGATTCACAAATCCACAGAAACAAAGGCAGGAAGAAAAATTACAGACAGACCTCCCTAGCACATAAATAATCATCAGCAAAGCAGCCATGTTGCTTGGGATTTTTGTATGGTTTTATTCCAAATATTTACTCTACATTGCAACCTTAAGCAAAGTTAATTACCTCAGTTTCTTTACCTATAAAAATTGGATAATGAAGCTGATCTTCTTTGCAAACGGCAAATTTGTAGATAAAAGCATTAGTATTGCATGCTGATGTTAATAAATATTTTCTCAGTTGACTAGCGGTCACCGGAACACTTTTCTGTGCTATGCTCATTCACTGTACAGATTCAAATGCGATATTAAATCCTTCTGACTTTTCCTAGTTTTGCTGACAGGGAGAAAGAGCAATCCAGGCTTAAGCATACATGTCAAGCTCACTTTTAAAACTATTTTTTGGGGGGGTCATGGACTGGCACTTACAGAGGCAAATATCTCTTTGCTTTCTTGGCTCTGACTGCTGCAAGGCAATAAAAAAGACCTCTAGACAATGACAATGTCAGGAGTTACTGCCTCTGCCAGGAGGGCTCTATACACCTAGTAATTCTCATAAAAGACTCTCTGTCTCGTATGACTAGAAGCATCATATAGGCTGACAAAGTGAACTGTAGTAAAATAGTGCATCTTTCAATTACTTCCCGTGTTATGTTACATCAAGTGGCAGAACACAATAAATTTTAAGATAAAAGTTGACATGAACGAATATAGTAATAAATTAATAACAAAAACTTTTAATGTACATGTAAAAAATAATCCAGCAATCACTTTCCAACTGTATTTTACATATTTTCAAGCAACAAAACACAGCTGGCAGCTCTTTATTAAAAGAGATCAGTGTGCTAAGATGTGCTCAGTCTGAAATAATAACTCTAGAAAAAAAATTTCAATAGAGATGTATTTTAAGAACAAAATCAAAGAAAACAAAGGCACAGAACCTGAGAGTTTCAAAGCACTCTCCTCCTCATACGTCCCCCTCTCCCCTGAAACAAACCCAACGCTAGAAGAAGCTTCAGGAAAGATTTTCAAAGGCGCTGAGCTTTCAAAAGGAAGAAAGCCCTGAAGTATTCTCTGGGCATTTCAGTAAGGAAATTTCCTCTATATCTTCCACACTTCAGTCTTCTCTGCGATCACGCACCAGTTGGCATGGTCAAAGTATGAGTGAGTAATATGTAGCTCAGGAATGTGACGCTCTATCAGCTCAGCCAACTCCCCTTCTTTAAAAACGTGGTAGTACCTCAGCCATGCCCCCCCAGCACCCGTCTGCTGTCTTCTCTGCGTGGTTAGGGAGCGCTCATTGACTGCTTTCTGCAGAGAAGAGTCTGTTCTTTTGTTCTGAGGTTGGCAGAAAGCTCCTTGTTTTGGGTGATGGTCTATTTTAAGTTGTTGTCTGACAGCTAATTCTTTCTGATGTGAAATCAGGTCAGGTAAACAGACTCCACTGCAGCCATGAATAGTATCTGCAGCCATAGGCAGCTGTATAGTTGCTTGCCCTAATTCTGAATAGCAACTTCTGAAAGCCTTCGAGCAGCGTGACATGGGCAGCACAGGTTTAACAGCCGCTTCAAAAGCCGTTGTATTTTCAAAACTCTGTTTGCAATGTAGAAAAAAGTTGGAAGTGCGTTTCAGAAAGCCACACTCTCTGTTTTTTTCAACTTTTTTTCCTCTGTTTAATTCATTCAGCTGAACACCGTAATTGCAGTATCTAATGAGCTCTTCTTGGTGCCACTGATCACCCACATCTAATACCGAGTCAAGCGATCTTGAGAACAGAGACCATCTCAGAGATTTCTCTAACACCGTGTACGGCGCTTTTTTCTCGCCTCCACAGGATGAGCTCTTTGCTGTCCTGTGTACCTCTGAAGTCCCATCCAACTTATGACAGGGCTGGTTCAAAGCCAGCTCTTTGTCCTTGTGAAGAATTGATTTTTGTACTCCACATGAGCAAGGCTCACCCGAGGAGCAGGAAGGGGGTGAAGGATTCCAAGGAACAAAGATGTCTTGCTTTTCAAATCTTCTCCGTTTTTGCTCCATTGCCCACACATATATCATTATCTGGCCTCCTACTCTCAAGATGCGAGCCATCTCTTTTATTGCTTGCATGCGCCTCTCTTCCGTTGAAAAATGGTGAATCACTAGAACAGAATAGATAAGGTGAATAAGTATCCCTCGAGGCACTAATGAATACAGAGTATAAGGACAAGGACTGGCTCTGAGACACTGGCAGCTGGTGGTTTGCACCACAGGAATACATCATTTATCTTCCATTGTGCTACGCGTTATTGTACTATCTATAACATGTGAAAAGAGTTCATAATACACTGACTTATTTTAAAAACACAGCAGAATTTAGAAACGTTGAAACAAGTGACATCTTTCAGATTGGCAATAAACAACACAACAGTCTTGTTTTCTCAATGAAAGGCTACCACTTGGTCAGTGGCAAAGCAACCTGGCCTTTTTTTACCCTCACCTAATGCTCATCTGCAGCCTGAAAGAAGCACTTGTGAAAGACCGAGGCCATACATGGTCCTTGCAACAGCCATACTAGTGATCCTGCTGACGATACCCATTAAAAATGGACTACGTTAAAACTGCCTGCCCATTTCTCCTCCTTTATTAACAGACGTCAGTAACCGAGCAGGAAAAATGAACAGTCGCTATCAGCCTGGGATGCATTTAAATCATCAACATATGGGTGAAAGACACTTAGTCAATTAGCATTTGTCTACTTCTGCCATTAACAAACATATATCATGAAAACAAATAATTAGATAATCCTACTCTTGCTTGATAACCCCCACCACCACCCCAATGCGTGACGTGGAGAACGCCTCATTGTTATGATGGCGAAACTCAAGCAGTACAGCTTTGCTTGAGTCAGAACTGAGTTTAAATTTGACTCCCATTTCAATAAAAATTTCTGCTCCCACAAGGCCAATTGGTCTCTGGATTTGGCAGGAATTTGCCGAACGGCAGCTCTGCAGGTTGGCTCCTGCTCTAGAGCAATTCCCAGCAAACGTTGAAGTTGATCAGGTCTTGGTGCACAGCAGGGACTTCAGCGAAGTTTCAGCTACATCAAATGAATGTTACATGAGAAATAAGAATAGGAAACAATCCTGGCATAGTGCTGGGAAGGAAAGTGCACATATTAAAGACGCTGAAAATGAAAAGCAATTAGAATTAGCGATATTTATCCAACCTTATATTTTCCTCAGTGAAAATGCCTGTGCCAGTTTGGGCAGATATTTCTACACATACCACTTCAGGTTACAATGATAAACCAGTTTTTGGTTAAGCTGTTGAGGTGTTGGTTTCCACACAAAAATAACAGATCTGTCAAGGAAAAAAAAGGTGCAAGCTTTTGATTCGTTCTAGAAATGTAAGTATAGAAAATGCTAGCAGAAGCTCTGTATCTGCAGCCTCTCTGTGTCTGTCAGGGCGGCCATTCACCATCAGATCCATTTTGCCTCAGAAAAAGAGACACTTCACAATTAAAAGAATAACAGCATGCAATCCAGCTGAGATAGGAAAACACTCTCCCTGCAATGAATGATGCATTCAGAGCCTCGGCGGCAATGTGAGAATCAAAAGGCAAGCTTTGAAGAAATAGCGTCTTTTAACGTTTAGTTATTCAGCTGCTCTGCTGTAGGTTTCACTTCTTTGAGATGAACAGAAATAAATTCCAAAATCTCAGGTCTTCTAGCACTACTCGAGATGTTGACATTGAAACATTATGGCCTTTTCAATTAAAAAGACATCAAGTATCATTTAAGAAATTACAGTGTATTAATAAAATCTCACACTGAGCAAAACTTTAGTGTTGTCAAGATAAATTTGTCAGGTAATTTTAAAAGCTACGGGTGATGTATTCCATTTAAAAATGCATAACTCAAGGAAACAGCATCTGCATGGGGCAACATCGCACTATCCTGAAATCACAGATTATCACGTGAATTATTGCATATGATTGCTTTTAATAAAAGCCAGACCTGTCAGGCTCCAAGATCACCACGCAGCCATACTCACCTAAAGCAAGTGGCTTATAAAAAATCATATCTTTCTTTTCCTTGACATTAAATTCCTTGTATGTTGAAACTGTGTCTAAACTGAACAATCTGCACTGTGCAGTAAAGGTGCCGTTTCAGAGATGGAGCGGCTCACATTAGCTGGCAATGAGGCACAAACACTCACCGAGGGCCTGATTGCAGCCCAGCAGCGACATGAGCCTGCTTTCCTCCCCTCCGGTGGAAATGGTTCAAATCTGCTTCTCCTGCAACTCCTCTCATACTGACGAGTAGGTGGCACCGGGGGTGATATTTCATAGAATTGTACCATGGCTTGGGTTGGAAGAGACCTTCAAAGATAACCCAGTGCAATCTTCCTAGATTGAGTTGTCAAAGCCCCATCCAACATGGCCTTGAACACTTCCAGTGATGGGGCATCCATAACTTCTCTGGGCAACCTGTTCCAGTGTCTTACCACCCTCATTGTAAAAAAATTCTTCCTAATATTTAATATAAATCTACCCTCTTTCAGTTTAAACCCCTTGCCCCTGTCCTGTCACTACAGGCCCTGGTAAAAAGTCTCTCTCCTTCTTTCTTACAAGCCCCCTTTAAGCATTGAAAGACCACAATAAGGTCTCCCTGGAGTCTTTCAGTGCTACACCCCTAGAACAATCTTTCACCAGCTGTTCAACATATTCTAAGGTGATTTCCCATCATCCAAACACTATAAAACAAGGGTCCAGATGCTTGAAAATGCATTTGTTGTAACTACTGGTACTTTAAATGAAAATTAGTTTTGTCCTAAATTGCAATAAATACAGAAGCTTGCAAGTGGTGAAAACAGTATCAAGGCAGAGGAGACTCATCCCAGGTCAAAGCAAACATCCCTCCAGAATGGGGCTGTGGCAGCAGTCAGCACCAGATATTCGGGAAAGAAAGAAGGGAAGAACAGTGACGCTCTCTCCTCTCGCCTCCCGCGGTCGGCAGCCTAAGAGCTTCCTCAGCCACAGGCTGGAGCTTGTATCTAATAGCCAGTGATGGATCTGTCCTCCATGGATATTTTCTTGGGCTCACTTGTACTTCTGATCACACAAATTCACATGTCAAAGGAATCTGCAATTCAATTATGTATCTTTTAGAAAAATGGTTCCTTCTGTTTTAAATCTTTCCCCATGGTTCTCCTGTTGTAAGAAACCACAGAAATTAACTCCCTATTCACTAATTTAATATCATTTGTGGGTTTCAGGATGCTATCCCCCTCTCCCTCAGGAGCAACACGATGTATACACTTCTTTTATGATACTTCTATGATGATACTGTTTTTTCTTAGGTGGAGAGTCCTAGCCCATTAATCTATCCTCATACATAAACAGTTTGTACCTTTGATCATTATAAGGACCTTTACTAGTTCATCTATATCCTTGAAGAGGTGGAGAAAACCTGAATTTCAGGCAGTACACAAGATATGGATGCACCAGGTATTTATCTTCTACCATTCTTCTGGATTTTCATTTCTGTTTTTAATATTTCAATACTTTTTTGACCAGGTTTGAACACTGAGCTAATATTTTTCAGGGCAATGAAAATAAGTCTGACAATGACTTCCGTATCTCTTTCCTGAACAAGAACAGGGGGTACCACATTGCCTGTACACATAGTTATTTTTTTCTATGCACATTACCTAGCATTTATCCACAAGTACTTTTCTGCAATTTTGCACCCAGTCATTAGTTTCACATGAGACTTTTTTTGCAACTCTTTGCAGTCAGTAATCCTGAATAACTCTATGTTATCACCAACTCTACTTGTCACCAGCAAACTTTATCACTAGCCTATTCATTCCATTGTAATTATAAATTACATAGGAATCTGTTGAACAGCAGCCTTTTTATAGGTGCTATACACCTAAGCATTCAACGTTGAGTCTTTCAGCACTCTCCACACTCGTCTGCTAGCATTTTACCCTTCTGGCTTTCCCTTTCAATTTTCCTTTTTGGTAGTAAACTTTTATGCAGTGGATTTTTAAAGCGTTTTTGTTCCTAGCAGGAGGTTTGATTAACGGTCACATTACAGGCAGTGAGATAATGTGGTTCTTGCACAATTACTTATTGATGTGGGCCTGATGCACCGTTTCAGACTAATAAGAGTTGTTTCCCTTTTGTGGGTTCTCAGATTAATCTTTCCAAGAGGCTTCGTGCCCCTGTGTATCATTTACACAACCTACATATGGATAATTGCAGTTTCTCAATATTGTGTTTTCTGCCCTCACAGCCCTCGCAATCTCTCTTAACAATCTGTGGTCATTTTCCCCAAGTTTATCAGCGAGTTAGTGATACATCCTTACATTATTACACTGCTCTCCTCTGGAGCCTCTACCTACTATCGTTTCTTCCAGAAGATTATCCTCATGCTTTTTTCCACAGAAGAATATTCAGAGCTTTTTAGCTGTTATGCAACCCTTGTAACAAAAGCTAGAAAAAACCTTTAAGTTCACTACAAAAAGGGCTTTAATGAATATCGTTATCATACTGACCAACACCATGCCATGGTGATGAGGATAAGTAGGACCACATTCAATTTTTTAAACATCCAAACAAACCGTTCCAAAAAAGAAATCTAAGCACAAAAATATTTGTTTGGGGTGAGCACAGGTGCTTGTCCAAAACCCCTGACAGCTCTTTGCAGTAGCAAGGCCTTGCTTCATGGATTAACAGTTGTTATAAATCAAGCGTTGCTTTTTTATTTTGGCCGTACATTCCCCTAGCGTACCTAAAAGTCAATCCAAATCAATTTTGTGCCGTGTACTGCTCATTCCCACCACTTTTGTTTAAATTGAAGACTAAAAGATTTTCCATAACTGAAAAATACATAACGCAATTTTAGATTTCCAAGGGAGGGGGTGAAGAGGAAAGGAGAATATTTCAAAGATTCTTCTCTTCTTCATTTCATAAGAATATAATTGACTGGTCCTTCTCTTAATTTAATACTGTGACTAATCCTACTAAAAGGGATTATTTCAAACAAGCAGACAATGCAAGATACATTTTTGTGTCATTCAGCTGTCTTCAGAGAACAAAACTGAAAGCATCAACAACTTTGAATATTTTTTTAGAAGTCATTTTCAAAATGAAC